ATGTGCATTGTAGCTGAAAACAGCTGCTAGGAGTCTTCAGCAATTCTTATGGTTTTCTTTTCCTGATGGATGATTCATTTATCTGTAAAAATATTAGAGAGTGCTTTGATATTTCTGAGCTTGTGGCTGGGAATGATAAGGTTGAATCCCTATGGGTAAAGATCAGGGGAAGGGCTGACAAAGCAGACATCCTAGTGGGCATCTGCTACAGACCGCCAAACCAGGATGAAGAGACAGATGAGGAGTTCTATGAGCAGATGCTGGAAGCTGCACAATCGCCAACCCTTGTCCTCATGGGGGATTTCAACTTCCCTAACATATACTGGGAATACAACACAGCATAGAAGAAGCAGTCTAGAAGGTTTCTGTAGTGTATGGAGGATAACTTTCTGGTGTAGCTGGTGAGAGAGCCTGAGAGGAGCTGTCCCAGTAGACCTGCTGTTCACAAACAGAGGTTTGGTGGGAGATGTGGAGGTCAGGGGCTGTCTTGGACAGTGACCATGAAATGGTAGAGTTCTCGATTCTTGGTGGAGACAGAAGGGGGAACAGCAAAACTGGTATGTTGGACTTCTGGAGGGTGGACTGAGGTTTGAATTGTTCAAAAGACTAGTAAAGGGAGTCCCCTGGGTTTCAGTCTTAGAGAGTAAAGGGGTCCAAGATGGCTGGTCACTCTTCAAGAAGGAAGTCTTAAAGGCACAGGAGGTGGCTGTCCCCCTGCACCGCAGTATGAGCTGGCAGAGAAGACTGGTGTGGATGAATAGGAAGCTATTCTTGAGGCTCTGGGAGAAAAAGAGAATCTGCCTCTTTTGGAAGAAGGGATGGGCAACTCAGAGTACAGAGAAGTTGTTAAGATGTGTAGAGAGAAAATCAGAAAGGCAGAAGCCCAGCTTGAACTCAGCCTGGCTGCTGGGGTAAAAAGGAACAAGAAACTACATTAACGGTAAGAGGACTAAGGAGAATCTCTGTTATTTATTGGATGAGGCTGGGAATATGACCACCAGGGATAAGGGAAAGGCAGAGGTTCCAAATGCAGCGTCAGGGAAGGTTACGGAGCAGATTGTCTTGAGGGAGACTACGTGGCATGTCTGGGAAAACTGGGGGATCAGGCCTAGTCAGCATGGGTTCACCAAGGGCAGGTCCTGCTTGACCAACCTGATCTCCTTCTCTAGTGATCTGTCTGTTAGACGAGGGAAAGACTGTTGATGTATTCTGCCTGGACTTCAGCAAAGCCTTTGACACTGTCTCCCACAGTATTCTCCTGCAGAAGCTGGCAGCCCATGGCTTGGACAGGTGCACTCTTGGCTGGATAAAGAACTGTCCGGAAGGTCAGGCGCAGAGAGTGGTGGTGAATGGAGTCAAATCCAGCTGGCGACCTGTCACGAGTGGTGTTCCCCAGGGGTCGGTGCTGAGGCCTGTCCTCTTCAATATCTTTATTGATAGCCTGGATGAGGGCATTGAGTGCACCCTCAGTAAATTTGCAGATGACGCCAAGTTGACTGGAAATGTCAATCTGCTTGGGTGAAGCGAGGCCATACAGAGGGATCTGGACAGGCTGGATAGCTGGGTGAAGCCAATAGGATGACTTTCAACAAGGCCAAATGCTGGGTCCTGCACTTTGACTGCAACAGCCCCAGGCAATGCTACAGGCTTGGGGCAGAGTGGCTGAAAGACTGCGTAGAGGAAATGGACCTTGGGGTATTCATTGATGCTTGGCAGAACACGAGAGGCCAATGGCATCCTGGCTTGCATCAGAAGCAGTGTTGCCAGCGGGAACAAGGAAGTGATTGTCCCCCTGTACTCAGCTCTGGTGAGGCCGCACCTCGACTACTGTTTTGGGTCCCTCACTGCAAGAAAGACATTGAGGCACTGGAGCGGGTTCAAAGAAGGCTGGACGTTAGAAAATAACTACTTCTCTGAAAGAGTGGTCAGGCAGTGGAATGGGCTGCACAGGGAGGTGGTGGAGTCTCTGGCCCTGAAGGTGTTCAGGTAATGTCTGGATTTTGTGTTGAGGCACATGCTTTAGTGGGAGGTATTGATGATAAGTGGGTGGTTGGACTGGGTGATCTTGTAGGTCTTTTCCAACCTTGGTGTTTCTGTGATTCTGTGAAAAACAGGGAAATATTTGTACTGTCATCCTTCTGTGTTAGAGCCAAACTATCAGAGATACCTTAGTCCATTTTTGTTTGCATAAAGCAAACACAGACTTCTCTGATTTGTGTCTCGAGTCTCTAACTTCACTTGTGCTGCCATGGCTCTTTGAAAAGCTATTCAGAACTGACTTGCAGACAGCAGATGAAGAAGAATTCTGTGAATCTATTGGTAAGATTTTAGCAGCGCAAAACTGTCTTTGCTGTGAGAACTTCAGTCAGATGAGTTTTCAGTTCTGTAAAAGTAGTTGTTCTTTCCAGGACATTTTACTAATTCTGAATAAGTATTTTCTATGAAAAAATAGGGTGATTTTGAAATTCTCATGAAATGGTGCCTCATTTCCTGTTGGTTTGTTTATCTCCTCAGTACCACATTTTGACAAAATGCTGCATGACAGAATTCAAATATTTCGTAATATTAAAACTAAAGGAAATCAGTAATAAGTGCCAAATTTTGTATTTATTAAAATGAAGCATTTTATTTGCACAAAATGCAAACAAAATAATTGTAAAATGTTTTCATCTTTCATTTCCTGGTAGAAGAAGCTATTGCAGCAAGGTAATGAGATGCTGCCAAACCAGTTAGAGATTGTACTGGGATATATACAGAAGTGGCACACTTCTTCTGTAGAAGAAGCAGAGGATGCACTGAAAGGAGTTGATGCTTTTAGCTTTATACATACTTTTTTCCTACTTCCAAGTTTTTCTCTGGCTTCCCAGTTTTTTCATGTTATGGCTTCTGTTTTCTTTCTCTTGGATGTTTCTGTATTATTTCTTTTTTTTT